TTTTCTCTTTTTGTGTGTCATTCTGTCTGTTACATCTTCATGCCCATGTCACGTCTAGGACCGTAGGACTGAAGCCATGCAAGCTGTGAGATTCCATGTAGCTCTACAGTACTGTCTGTTGGCTCATCAGTGCTCAGAGAGAAAAGATCCTTGGTATTTCCAAAACCAGAGAGGGCCAGAAAATTTGTGATATTTATAAAGTTTAGAGTTTAAATATTTATAAAACATACTTTACTTATGTATTTAGGATATATATGTACATATATACATAAACACACATACTCTCACATATATATGCAACTCAAACACACACACATGTGCATACACATACATAAATATGTATGTATATATGTGTATGTATGTGTACATACATATATACACAGATGTATATATTCATATATACATATACACACATGCACACACACACACATATATATTTATATATATATATATATATATACGCACATATGTCCATAACAACAAAATGTTGAAAGTGGCCATGAACATGAATTTTCAAGAGAATCAGGAGGGATGTATGTAAGAGCATGGAGTGACAAAAGGGATGGGAGAATAATGTAATTATACTAAAATCTCAAAAAATAAAATAAATAATTTTTTGAAAAGACACTGTAACAAATTTTTACTTGTATTTGCAGCATCAAAGTTTTACTGAGAACATTTATTTTATGAACTCTTGTCTTCAATGAAAGTTTAAGATCTTAACAAACTTTCCTCTATATGCCTGGGATTTCTATATAAGTTTTACATGTCTGTGCTTTTTTGTACAAAAGATTTCTTTTTATATTTTAAATGTGCTTTAACTGAACCTTCCCAAGGCTCAAATTTCATAGGAGTGTTCTTTATTTTAAAAAAATGAATGAGAGTATCCACTCTGTTTTTTACTTTCTGAACCCAAATACTTATGAAGCTTCTGGACAATGAACTGATAGCAACTTATTTTTAGTCACATAGAATATAGTCAATAGAAATTTAATATTAACGAAGACATTACATGCTTAAAAGTTATTGATGCTTAAGACTTCACACTACAATTATTACAGGCATGAAAATGAATTTTGTTATCTATGCAAAATATCAATGTTTTCTTAAGAATTATTGCCTTGTGAATGATTTAGTCGTTAGAAAGCAAATTACACATAAAAAGTTCATACCAAAAGTGACATGAATATATAATTAATTTTTCTACATAGTTCTCTAAATAAAGTTACTTGTTCAATATTGATATGAGTAGTTTCGGGGCTATTGTGAGGGACATGATAAATGGAGTAATGAAAAAAAATTTTAATTTAGGGGACTCTATCAATCTAGAAAGCCCATGAATATTTCCTATTAATTCAGTATGCTAGAAGGAGATAAAAGAGATAGAGACTTCTTCCAAGAGAAAGAGCAACATAAAACAAGACACTGTAATTATATCAACATCTATTAAAATTTTCATGATTTGAAATCAATGGTAGATTCATATTCCAGTCAGAATGGTAAACATCTAATTTTGTATATACAACATTGGGATACACATGTGACTTGGACAGTGTCTTTCTTCTGAGAGAAAAACAATTTAGAAACCACTTCTGTGATAAATAGCATTAATAAAATAATAAGGTGTGATGTATATACATAATCACAATGCTGTGTATTTAAACACAGCACCAAGGAAAGATAATTTTGACTTGCACCTTACTGTTAACTTTAAAGAATGAAACCAAGGCCTGTGGTTTTATTCTTTTCTATTCTTTAGTATTTGCTGGCAATTCAATCTCAATTAGTACCAGTGCTTATATAACTTGGTGTATTTATAATCATGTTTAGATGACTCAGAGGTTATCCAATAAAAGAGAAAGTGTATTAATGAATAAAGAATTTCCACAGGATAAAAGCAAATAGAGTAAATTTGTGGAGTCAGGGGTATACAAGAAAAATAAGAGACCAAGCTCAACACATGCCATTTAAAAAATGTTTCATGACATTAAATATGATAATTATAGCAAAAAAATAAGTAGTTCAATTAAACTTGTAACTCAAGGATATTACATGTCTGTCAACCTGAAACACGGGGTTGTAGAATCCTCAATCGAATTTTCTATAGGATTCAGTGTTGTGGCTATTAGATTAGTTTTGTCTTCACTATCCATTCATTGTCATCTCTAGTTTTCATATTTTATTTCCCAGCCTTTTACAACAATATTCTGGAAAAATTAATCCTAATATATTGATACCTATTGCATGGCATTAGGCAAACTTCATATATCTGATACTTTTTGTCAAGAAAGGTATTTGTCAATCAGAGGACAGACTTCTGGAGTGGTACCCTCCTTCAATAATATGGTTTCCAGGGATCCAACCAAATCCTCAGGCTGTGAAGTAGTGCCTGCCCTCACTGGCTGAGTCAGACCTACAGTCCCCTCATAGCTTTGCGCATGGATGCTAAACAGCATTCATGGAAAACAGCTACTCATTTTCTCAAAAGAGATTTGCTCTTTTGCTGAGCCTCTGCATGAAATGACCCTTTTGCTTATCTAATTAATTCTTATATTAAAGTATTACTGAATAACTTAATTTTGCATAATAAGTCCTGTGTCAAATTTTATAATCTGTGGTGCAATGATCATTTATTAAATATGAGGGAAACAATATATGACACAGATTTTCTCCAATATTGAAGAAGAAATGAATGGAAATATTACAGTAAGAAATGTAGAAGCCTTGGAACTCTATAGACCATTAATGTTGAGGTAGTCTTTGTGGGGGCACACGCCTTTAATACCAGCACTCGGGAAGCAGAGACAGGCAGATCTCTGTGAGTTTACGACCAGCCTGGTCTACAAGAGCTAGTTCCAGGACAGGCACCAAAACTACAGAGAGACTCTATCCCAAAAAACAAAAACAAAACAACAACAACAAAACCCACAATAATAATACACAAAAAATAACCAAAAAATGTTCCTTATTGTTGCTATTTTCCAATAGTATCTGCACTTTAATATGGTAAATTTAAACACGAAGGTGACTACTACATTTCCATGGATGATCCAAAGAACTCATAGTGTTTTTTGAAAATATTTCCTTTTTTTTTCTCCCCAGGGGACTTAGTAAAACTGTAACGCATTTTAGGGAAATATTTCATAAGCATTTTCCTAGGGTTACTTAGTCTCTCTTTAAATAGAATTTTTTATTCAAGTATTTAAATATCTTGTTTTAAGACCCTTTAAAAACTTAACAAATACATTATTTTCTTTTCTGAATGAAGAAGATTGAACTCAGTATTTGTGCATGCTAGATAAGTAATATGTGTTCTCAGTTTCAAAGTAGTAATTCTTTTTTTTAATTTTTCCATTCAAAAATTTACACTTCCTTTCCTCCTCCCAGTCCCCTCCAGCTCCCCCACTCACTCTCTTCCCTTCCCCTTCTTGCATGAGAGGAACCATGCCCTGTGGGAAGTCCAAGGCCCTCCCCGCTACATCCAGGCCTAGGAAGCTGTGCATTCATATAGAGTAAGGTCCCAAAAAGCCAGAACATGCCTTAAAAACAAGTCCCAGTACTTTATCAATGGCTTCTCAGTCAGCCCCCATTGCCATCCACAATCAGAGAGTCTGGTTTGATCACATGCTTGTTCAGTCCCAGTAGTAATTCTTAGTCATAAAAACATTATTTGATTTTTTTCAAAATGGGTAATCTGGTAATTTACTTGTATAAAACTTGAAAAAAAATATTTAAAAAAAACTGGCCAGCCAGGTGGTGATGGCATACACCTTTAATTCCAAAATTCAGGATGCAGAGACAGGTGGATCTCTGAGTTATAAGCCAGTCTGGTCTAAGGAGCAAGGTCTAGAACAGTTTCCAAAGCTACAAAGAAACCCTGTCATGGCCAGAAAGTATCTGAAAGATAACAAGAAGGCACAAGACATAGAAGAGTGTGGAAGGAGGAAAAGGAAAGGATATGCAATGATATTATAATCTCAAATATCAGAGAATAAATTTAGAAGTAAATAAGAGTTGAAAAACCATAACTACTCTTCAATATCACAACCCAAGACTTACTATTTGAAAACATATCTTTATATTTTTAGCATAAGTATTTATTATGGATAACAAAATAACATTTCAATTTCCTAATGAAATTTCTTTACAGAGTAGGAAATTCAAATGTACATTTCTGGTACTTTGGTTGTAGAAATATATAGATCAATATAAACTATTTCAGTAAGAAACCTGAATCTTTGCACAGTGTAGGCTTTGCTATTGATGAGAAATGTGTGTGTGTGTGCTTGCACATGCATGTGTGCATGTGAGTTCAGGTGTGCATGTGTGTGTAGCACACAGCACACAAGGAAGGAGGGCAGAAATTGACCTCAGGTGTTTCCTCCTCAAAAACTGTCTACTTTAATTTGAGACAGAATCTTTCACTAGGAACAGGAACGCACCAATTAGGTGAGACCATAAAGCATCCATAGTCTTCTCCTCTCCACTTGCCCAGCTTTAAGATCACAAGTATGCCACTTCCTTGGATGTTTTTGGCATGGGTGCTGTAGAACAAACACAGATCCTGGTGCCCTCTAAACACCGCTTGCCACACCTTTTGAAATGACCACAAAGTTTCACTTAAGAATCCTAAAAGACTTAACGATCATGTATTTTTAAATCCGAAAAATATAATTTCAGTAAACTTTTTCATGTTCCATCATGCTGCAGAAGTGAAAATGGCCTTCAGTACATTGAGAAAGATAAACAATAACTTAAAATTTCAAAATTTACATTTGGGACATATAATTCTCTTTTAAATATGCTGTGAAAATTAAATTGTCACCTACCGTTGGACAACAGGAAAGTAACAGGTCACCATTCAGACATCCTTTCATGATCAGGGTTCATATTTTATTAACATTATACATTTAGGACATTTATGCTATTTTGCAGATGCAAGAATAGACATGTTTCATTTCCAGAACAAAAGAGACGGCAGAGAGAGAAATGCAAATTACCTTTTTCAATGTGAATTCTTTTTGACTCGTGTCCCATGTCATGACCAGCCAAATCTCCCTCCTTTGGCCCAGGAAGCACATTTGGTGATAAACCCATCAGCATCTGATTCATGGACAATCCATTCTGATGCACAGCTGTTAGCCCCCAAACAAGGAACAGACAGAAAACATCATAACATTGTGGTAAAAAATATATCATAAACATATGCTACCCAAACTTTGAAATTATAATCACTTAGTAATACTCCTGGGAGATTGCCAGCCCACAGTAATCCTTTAGGATAAGCAGGAAACACTGGAAATAACGCCACTGACTGTATCTATGGTTACATAAAACAAAATGTTTTCCATGGTTAGAATAATGTGGAATGTCCACATTAGTGCAATGACGGCCTATGAGGTATTCAATATTATGTTCAAGTTGTCTTCTTAGTATATAATTTCCCCCAATTTTGAAAAACTATGATCTCAGCAATAACATTCCCTTTAACGCTGTCTGGTTAAAATGAGTGATACCCCAGTGACCTGCCACAGCCAGTATAGTTTTCTGTATTTAAGAGACTGAAGCTGCCGTTTTGGTATCCTTATTGTATTTTACTTCATAGAATATGGTGTGCCATAAGAACCTCAAAATTCATCTAAAGAGTAGTTATCAAAACTCAAATTCAATTAATATCTACCAAAGTATTGGAAAATAATTGTCTTCTCTGCTAGGGCCACAATTGAGATGATAAAACACTGCTGTAATTCAGATGACAGAACACTCAGGATCCACAGAACTAAGTCAATGAATTCACTTACTGAACTGGTCAAAAATAAATCTTGTTTATTTTGCATAATTTGAGTAAAAATATATTGAATAAAACCCTTCTTTCCTGGAAAAATAGAGAATCTTGTGAACAACATTGGATTGTATTAGAGTTAACATTGACATTCAACCTCGAATTATTTCAATGGTGAGTCACAAGCTAGGGATAGAACTTTTATGGACAACAGAGTACGTCATCCTTGTATATTTTTTCCCCACAGGATGTTTAATATCTCAAAACGTTAACAGTTTGTAGCCTTAAATGATATAGTCATCAGTATATATTCTCTATCACATTTCAGGATTCTCCAGATATACTATATAACAGCTGTAGCTCTGATGAAAAATTCAAAAGCTGAGTTTAACCATGAGGAACATCTCGATAATTCAAGATAAAGAGCTCTCTACAAAACAAATGTGCGTGTGTTTGCCACATTGTTAAGGTAAAAAATGAGGGAGATGAGAAAGACCTTGGAAGAATTTCAACATCTTTAGACAGAGACAAAAATGTTAACTGTGATATGTGATCTTTATTTTAATCTTGCACCAGATAAGAAAATCAACTTGCTCTTAAAAATATTAGTTGGAAAATTCAATACATGTGAAAATATCTATAGTTTTAAAATAACATAATAATAGTAAAATTTGATTGTGATCATTTTTCTGTGATTTTATGGAAAAAATTAAAACTTGTAGAAATTAAAAATTGAAACTGGAGTTACAGGTGGTCGTGACCTGATATTGGTACTAAAAAACAAACACTGGTTCTCTGAAAGAGCATTAAATACTATTAGCACTTGATCCATTTAACCACACCAAAGACCTAATATTGTACTTCTTTATATAAGTCAAAGACCTACTTCAAAATTTTAAAAATAACAGGAATATATGTATTTCTGATTTTTCCAGACAGAACTCCTAAAATTAAAGTTATTTAACCCAGTGATCATTTAAAATGAAGAGCAAATAGACTTTTGACATTTTCTGTGGTTAATTTAATTTCTGTTGTTTGTATTTATGTACCTTTATTCAATAATGATGAATGTTAAAATCAGATGATTTTAAAAGTGGCAGAGGTTTTTTCATTAAGAACATTCAGTTGAGTAAACCATAAACGACCTACTTAGAAGTTAGATAGCTGGGAATTGGCTGTGTACTTCAAAAACTAATCTGGAAGATTACTTACATTTTCTGTTTCATAGCTCAAATCTTTATGTGTAGTGTCAAAGAGAGGACGTTATATCAGAACCTGTTAATGCCGCATCATCCTTCACGGCATTCCAAACTGGGACACATAATTTTGAGGAATGGCTATCGCTAAGGAGCTTTGGTACATGACACATTTGAGATCTATTTGGAATGAGGGTATTTTGATTAGAAAGCCCAGCTGCACCTAATAAAGTTTAAGATGGTGACAAGCACAAGTGTGAGACCTACGGATTCTGTCGGAAGAACTCTCGGTCCGTGCAGGGGAGCTGGACACGCTGCTGCTGCGGTGTGATGATGGGTGGCTGCCAGGCCTTCGGCCCTCCTCAAGGGAAGGGGCAGGTGAGGGACTATCAGGAACACGCTCCTGCATTGTACAGAATGAAAGAAGAGAATAATAGGTCAATGTACTGCGTCTTGCTTTCATGAATGCTGTTTTTTTCTTAATAGAATTAGAAATATGAAAAGGACTGCCTCCAAAGGCCCACCGTGATTCACTATCACTTAATTGTACTAAAAGACATATTTAATCTTGACCAAAAATCGCAATCCTAGCCAATTTCATGTTTTTGAATCTCCTATCATCTAAATTAGTGAGATGAAACACTCTTAAAAAGGCAAGGTAGGAAATTACAAATGTATTGGTAAACCTCAATATGGCCATGGCAAATAGTACTAATCCATTCTATGGGGAAAATATTAGGCCTAGAAAACAACTCAAAACTTTCAAGCAAGACCACCTGGACAATAAAGAGCTGATAGGACTAAGCAAGTCTGAGTTCTGGGCAGTTATTTTGAAAGCAACTTTCCGTGTGTTTCACTATTTAAGTCGACATTAGGCACCATTTACCACATATATCATGGATGTAGCTGACAAGAATATTATCAGAGTATTGGTAACAGCACTTTCAGGGCGACACCACCCGAGACACATGACGGACACAATTAATGCATTGTGGAAACGGAATGTTATTTAATATTGAAATTATTTTCTATGAATCAAATAAATCTCACTACTTAGGCCCCCTTTTCCGTACAGTCATTTCTGTTCATCAAATATGTATCAGGTAGGTGGCAGAGAATCCTGCTGTATTGTTTCTCTCTGAATTCTATGAAGACATTTGCCTACAACTATGCCCATCATTATGAACATGCTCTGTAGTCATGATACTTAATGTTATGTGAGAGTATATATACATCATACACATATAATGAGCTACTATAAATGAGACTACAGATTAATAGTTTAACCATTAGTTAACACTTTATACAGTTAGCAAAAAAACAAAAACAACATTTCATCAGACATAGAAACTGACAAACTGTCTCTACAATAAATATATGTGAGTATATAAATATAGAAAAACTTCCATATTCAAAAAATGGTATTCCAGAGAGGGAAAGTTTAGTGATTAAGGAAATTGGAGCTATTACAGAGGACCTGGGCTTGGTTCCCATCATTGGCACAGTTTATAGCCACCTATAATTTCAGTTGCAGGGAGTAAGACATTGTCCTTGTGGTTCTGCCAGCACCAGGCATACAGGTTGTATGTAAAATATATATATATATATATATAAATTTTAAGTAGTAAGCAAAATCAAGTAACACCTGCATTGCACACCCTTTTTTCAATGATCTTCATTACCAGTGAACACCTCCAACACCTCCAACACATATATTGAGGATTCATTTTGCAGAACATTACAAATAAAAATGAAAGCAAGAGTAAAAATTTCAAAGCTTTGTTTAAAAGACCCATATCATAAATCAGTTCCCAATGTGTGTCCTAAAGAATATGAAGCAATCCCATACACAATTGCCTTATAAAGAACCTATCTCCTCAAACAGTGTTGTGACGATTAAAGACAATGACAACAAAAAGAAAACCACCATTGTTATTCAAGACTAGGTGCAAGTCTATGAATTACTGTGATGATGACTTGCTGAGCCTCAGGAGCTTTCAACAGGTCTATATAGGATTAACTTTTGGAAAAGACAATACAGGCGCATTAAAGATGAACTGTCAGAGACATTATTATACCTCAGCGTTTTCCTTCACCATAGTTGATCAGATGCTAAGAATTGAGTGCTCTAATTTCTGCTAATAGAAAACCTGAGTGACATTTAGATGAATATAAGATACTTAGGCTCCAACTCAACTTCAGTGATCTTCCATCTGAAAGTCTGAAGATAAACAAATCACTGAAGAAAACAATGGGGAAAATGGGAAGAGAAACACACACACACACACACACACACACACACACACATTGCATATTGTTCAATTTCATAGGCATCAAAGCTACTCAGGACTCTTGGTTTCTCCCCACCTTTGGAAGTCTGCATGGCACCTTCTGTTACTATGAAAGTTAATCCTTAGGGAGGGGACATTCCGGTCAGTTCCAAGTCAAGGCCCTCTAAACTATGTTTGAAGTGCATGGTATGTTAAGCAAGAAGATTTTTAATCTTCCATACGTAGGGTCAAAAATGGGCAATAGTAATAGTCTGTACATTTTAGGAGTCTCTTTAACAGTCCTGGCCAAAAACTCAAAAATGGGATTATTCATGCTTGTTGTTAGTGTTTTGAAAGGTAGTGTTTCTTTGGCTTAAAGGAAATGTTGTCAATCCATAAGGGAGAACTTCATTTACGTTAAATATTACATTTGTACAGAGGTTTATGTGAATTAGGGTTTTCCATTTGTTTGTTTGTTTGTTTGATAACGCTCAGAGAATAGTGTGGAACAGGGGGAGAAAGAGTGTAAGAGCCAGAGCATTTGAGAATGAGCTGTGAGACTGTGTCTTCTCCACACAATTGTGTCCCCTCCCTAAGGATTAAACTTCATAGTACCAGAGGATGCCATGCAAGCTTTGAAAGGTGGGGAGAAACTGGCAGTCCTGCCAAGCTTTAATGCCTATGAATATCAGCAATATGAGGTGTGTGTGTGTGTGTGTGTGTGTGTGTGTGTGTGCGTGTGCGCGCGCGTGCACGTGTGTGTGTGTGTGTGTGTGTGTGTGTGAAGCTAAACTCATCACATCTCACCAACACGACGATCTGAGCATTTGTTGAACAATGCCAACATAGACCTGCCAAAATAGAAGGAGACAAGTCCACAGTCCTCAACAAAGAACTATAGTTAACTGAAAATCCTGAGTTGGAGAAGTTGTTTTCCCTGGAGAAGAGATCATCAGCTTGATTTTCCAGTACCAAATAGTCAGCACTGAAAACAGAAGAGTATCAGTATCCAGACTAGGCAGGTTAGCCAAGCAGGTTAGCCACATGCCTTTAATCCCAGAAATCAGGAGGCAGAAGCAGGTGAATCTGTGTGAGTTTTGGGCCAGTTTGTTCTACAGAGTTCGTTCCAGGACAGGCAAAGCTACACAGATAACCTCATTTCAAAAAACGAACACAAAAGCCAGGAACAAAGAAAATCAATCAATCAATCAATCAAACAACAATAACAAAAAACAAAACAAAAAACAGCCCGAACAGGTTATATTTAGACATATATTTATCTGCATATAACAACAAAAAATTTTCAAAAAATGAATTTGATAGAGAGCAAAGAAGAGTGTATGGTATGGTTGGAAGGTGAAGGACAGAAGAAATGATGTGATTATAATGAGAAAAAGGCTCAAATCAGATTTTAGAAACTAAAAATTGTCTTAAATTAATATAGTATTAATATATGTGTATTTATTATGGAGTATTAGGTTGAAATATTACTGTAGAATTTCTAAATTACATGGAAATCTTAGTGTAATAAACTTAATATAGATGAGTTGCATCCATAATCAGACCAATCTTCTAAAATTTACACAACTGAATATTAATTTGTGTGTAATTTTTTCTTTCTTAAAAATAGAAAAAATATTGTCTGTAATTCCAAGCATGTATTTTGGTAGACCTATACCCATTTCCCTCTCTCCATTTTTTCCCTATCCTTACAGCAGTTTTCTTTCCCAACTTTGTATGTTTATTTTTTTAAACCCTGAGTTCAGTTAGCACCACCTCTATGTGACCAGGCATAGGAACACTTGCTAGAACATGCAGAGGCTCCAGTGATTTTGTCCGTGGGAAAAAAAAAAAACTGTCTACTTCTGCAGGCATGACTGGCAATAAAAACAACTCCTAATTTAGACAGATTGGGTCTTCCAGTCTGGCTGAGTTTTAAATAAAATTTCTATTCAATAAGATTGCTAACACTTTATTCATATAATAATATAGAATTTGTACTTGAGAATGATAGTTGAATTTTATTAAAATAGAATCTTCTAAATTAACCAATATATCTTCTGTAAAACATGACATCATTGTTTCCAGTACATTGTTATATGTCCTGTAACAATCATGTTGTTACTTGCAATGGCATTTGTTCATAATGTGGCTGAACGGAAATAAAACACTATGTAGAATTAAATCAATTTCTGTAAAATCATTTGCAAATCTAACTTTCATGGCGTTATAAAGTTCATAGCAAGTTTAAATGGAAAGTAAGGGAATATGTTTCTTCGTGGATATTTAATTCTCAAAACCTAAGTATTTATTTATAAACTGAAACGACAATGGCTATATATGCCAATATAAAGCATTCCGTGTTTCTTTTAACATTTCGCATAAGTAGAAAAATGTCCTGTTATTCTATATGTGTGTCACAATCTCCTATGCTGTTTATTTCATTCATCAATCATTTACTTACTTCTTTATCCACTTAACATACCCTAAATATGACATAATAAACTAAGTAAAAATTGATTAAAACCTCAATATAAAATACATTTTTAATCACGGTTTAAAACTAGGGGAATTGTAAAATTTAAAACATTTAACTGGCTTTCCTTATTTGACTTTATTGTAGTTTTAGACTTAAGAACAGAGAATACTATGATAATCCATAAAACTTTCATTTAAAGAAAATATTTTATGCAAATTCTATGATTTAAAAGCTTAATTATTCAATTGAAATTCTTTATAAATTGAGACACAACATATTCAGTCATTTCCCTTAATATATAATTTCAGTTCTTAGAACATGATGTATTGTTCCTTGAAGAATTCCATTAAAGCGAAATCCATTGAACAAGTAAGATTTGAATACATTGTTGCACAATAAATTAATTTATTTCAACAGCTTAATTCTTTTATCATATTTATATGCTTGCCTTTCAAGGATATTCTATAGGATGGAGAATAATGAAGACAGTAAAGAATAGCTTGGAGAGAACCTTGTAATTATTAGTGAAACAAAATAGATAATGACTTTTATTTAGACATAATAGGAAAGAAGTAGTTCAGTGTCTTTGGGGAAACTATGTAAGCTGGATTTATAATTTCATTTGCTTGGTACCTTTTAACCTCTAAGCTTGGC